CTAAGCCCTAAACCCTCAGCCCAAAAGCCCTACTTAGAGGCCCAGGGGACTTAGAAACTCGGTTATAAGTAAGGTTATAATTAGGGTAACTCCATTTAGGGTACTTATAACTCTACTTATAACCTACTTACTAAGTCCCCTGGGCCTCCAAGTACACCCCAAACCCTAAGCAGGCTTGGGATGTTTCGCGTTTCGGGGTTCGGTTCTCAACTCGGGGATGCCTCGAAGGTCTACAGCGAACCCCAGAAAGCTGGAACATGGGTTTAGGGTTGAAGGTTTAGGGTTTAGGGTTTAAGGTTCAGGGGTTTAGGATTCAGGGTTTAGGGTTCAGGGTTCAGGGAGTTTAGGGTTTAGGGTTGAAGGTTTTGAAGCTTAGGGATTTAGGGTTCAGAATTTAGGGTTGTTTATGGTGAACCCCAGAGAGATGGAACAAGGGTTTAGGATGATTTGTGCTCGGATCCCTTATACCTCACCTTAAGGGCACGAGGACTATGATGTTCCAACTGTATGGCTTCCACTACACTTTGGAGGGGGCTATAAGTTATAAGATTTAGGGTTTAGGGAGGGGTTTAGGGTTTAGCGAGGGTTTAGGGTTTAGGCGTTAAGGTTTAGGGTTCAGGGTTTAAGGCTTAGGGTAAGGTGTCACAGGCTACGGGGTTGTTTGCGCGCTAACAGCGGAAAACTTCGTGAGGGCTTTAGTAGCACTTCATGGCAGCTACAGGTCTCTCGAACGGCTTGATACAGCTCTATAGAGGGGCTGCACAAAGGTTACATACGTTTGCAATTTGTCCTTCTAGCTTGCTGAAAAGGCTTTGTAGAGGTCGCTTAACGAGGGAATATTCGCGCCGTGATAGGGTTGTAGACGTGTCCTTGCTGGGGCTCTATATGGGTCCGTATATTGAGGGTCCGATTGTTGAGGGCCTATACCAGTTCCATCATTTCTGAATCTCGCATATGTGGTGCTACCAACACTTTCTAGATAACTTGAACGACATGGTTTGCAAGGTTTAGGATTCAGGGTTTAGGGGGGCCTTCGTGGTCTTTTGGCCGAACTTTTGCTTCCTACCGCAGAGGCTTCGGTGTGGCGTCAAGGGATAAAAGGCGTTCGAAGCTGCACGCCGCAAGCCGCTTACAGGAACCCTACACCCTCAACGGCACCCTGAACTAAACCCCGAACCATAGACCCCCACAAGCCCTACACCCTCAATGGAACTCAAAACCCTAGACTCCTAGACCATCAACCCAGACCCCACAAACTTGATCCCTCGAACGATCTTCAGGCAAATCTGAAATGTAGCCCTTCAAGGAACTTTCGGAACCCACCCCCCATAAAACAAATTAAAAGTCATCCCCCCCTATCTAGCCTGAATACTTAGCTGTACGATTTATTCCTTAGGGATCCAAATCATATGTATACTCTACCCTAGAACCCTATTCTGATGACTAAGGCCCCTATACTAGGCCCCCTAGACGGAAAATCCTGAACCCTAAACCCCTAATAAACCCCTGAACCCTAAACCCCAAAACCTCAAAATCCGAAAAACCTAAGTCCCTAAAACCTGAAGCGCCAACACCCTAAAGCCCCAAAGCCCTGAAGCCCTGAACCCTCAACCCTATTTCAATCATTCAGGCCCCTATACTGCACCCATATACTACCCATAAATTCCCCCTTTCAATCAAGGAACCCTAGCCCCCCTAAGCCCTAAACTCTAAACCCTAAATAACCCCTTTAAAGGGACGCTAAACCCCTAAACCCGAAACCCCTTCAAAGGAACCCTAACCCCTTCACACCCTAAACCCTAAATAACCCCTTTACAGGAACTCTAAACCCCCCAAACCCCCAAACCCCAAACCATAAATAACCCCTGTCAAGGAACGCTAGATCCCCTAAACCCTAAACCCCTTTACAGGAGAACCCTAACCCCCCTACACCCTAAACCCTAAATAAGCCTTGTAAAGGAACCCTAACCCCCCTAAACCCTAAACCCTAAACCCTAAACCCTAAACCCTAATCCCTAACCCGGAACCCTAAATCCCACAGCCTGTCAGATCCAGGTCTGGCAGACACTGGTCTGGCCGACGACATTTCGGCAAGCTTGGCCCGGAGCATGGCATTCTCCTCCAAGCTGTCGGGTTATAGGGTTTAGGATTTATAGGGTTTAGGGTTTAGGGCTTAGGGTTAGGATTGGGTTTTAGGGGTTTAGGGTTTTGGGTTTAGGGTCTACGGTTGGCATTCTCCTCCAGGGCTCTGGAATTTCGGGCTTCCAGGGGACCCTAAACCCTAAACCCTAGTTTAAAGTTTAAGGGTTTAGGGCTTACGGTTTCAAGTTTAGGGTTTACGAATTGAGGGTTTTGGGTGCAAGGGTTCTAGGCTCAATGGCTTAAGTCTTGGGATTTACGGTTTTTGGGCTCAACGGCTTAAGATTTGGGATTTACGGTTTCTGGGTTGAACAGTGTAATTTTTCGGGGGGGGTTTGGGGGGGTATAGTGCTTCGGGTCTACGGTATGGGGTTTATGGTATAGGGCTACGAGCTTACCAAACCCTAAACCCTAAACCCAACACCTTGAACCCTAAACCCGAAACCGGTAATTATATGGCTTAGGGTTGAGGTGTCTCCTCTTCTGTTTTGCGCGCATGGAGGTCGCCTTGGCATGAGAAGCTTCGAAATCAACAGTCCAGGTTTTCGGGTTGAGGAACTAACCGTTTTAGTTTACGTCTTCGGATAAAAGGCTTGGGCTTGGTTCTCAACATTATGGGTGCCTTTTAGGTCCCAAAAATAGAGCGGCGCCCCTACAATAAAACCTGCTCGCAAGGCTCGGTGAGTGCTTCCGTTTTTTTGGGCTCTTGCGTTGGGGCCCTCCAGAACTCCTGAGAGCGGCAGGACTCGAAGGCCGGGAGGTGCAGAACAGATAAATCCAGTCACGCAGTCGTTGCCGATCTAAAACTCATCCAATGCTACGGTGCGCTCAGCCACAGACGCAAGTTGATCAAAAGCATCGGGGATGGAGTGAACCGCCTCTTTTCTCAAGAGCTCGACGGTGCTTTTCCAGTTTGTGGTCTCCCAAAGGTGCTGGTACTCCGGCATGTCTTTCATGCACCGGATGTCTGCCCTGTCGGAACTCCAGGGTGGCACCCCAGCGCGCAGTACCAATTAAAGCCGGTGACATTGTCGTCCACTATGACGAGGCGCGAACCCCTCATGACAGCTCCAAAAGAAACCCTTGTGCCGGCACGTGGAAACTGTGAGCCCGACCTGGCACAGAGTCTTTCGGCAAAGGTAACTGTGTGGTCCGCGCCGGTCACGGATGGAAGGATCCGGAAAAGGGACCGCGCCTCGGCAGCACGACTCCCCTTTGAACTGCAAACAAACGCTTTGCATGAAAACCATTTGAGCAACTTGCACCTTCAAGGCATTTTCGAGGTAGGCCTGCCACATGCCACAGATGGACATGCGCGTCTTTATTCCCTGGGCCTATCGCTTGAACCCCAGCACCAAACTCCGGATCGTCCGGGCTGACCAAGATCCCAAAGTGGACGGCTGCGTTCCATGGGCCGCATGACCCCGCTGGAAGCACCACTGCAAACGAACTGGAGCAGCTCGAAGGTCCAGCCACGCCGGGTGAACATGTCCGGCCGCCCCCCAGAGCGAACACACACGAGTGTGTCCGCCAGGAGGTCCTCACGGAAACAAAACCACATGTGCTGTTGCGGCATATCGGGGTAGACACCAACGCTGGCAACATTTCTTGAAGCATCGTGTCCTCTGGCGGGTACATGCACTGCGGCACCCGGCGTCGGGCCACCAGCAGGCGAGCCCCTTCGCCCTTGAACGCGAAGACCCAGCAAAGTCTGGATCTCGTGCTCATGCCTGCGGCACACCTTGCGGTATAGGCTGTGCGGCGGGCATGCATTCGCGCAATGCCGACCCGCAGGCCCAAGCTGATGGCAGCCGCTGGCTCCGAGCATGTTGGGGCGACCTGGTTTGGTCACAACATCTACAAAGTTGACACACGACAGTGTAACAACCGAACCTATGGTGCCTCAGGGTGCTTCTGGCAAAGCCAGAGCGGCATCCCATCACGGAAATAAGAGGCACAGCACCGCCGCATGCCACCGTGCGCACCCGCCATGCTAGGAGCCCACTTTTTCTTCGGACTTGGAGCCTTCTGTTTTGCGCGGCCGGGGGTGCGTTGACCCCGACTCCCAGGACAGCCATGCGCTACTTCAGGACAGTATCTCTTTGCCTTTTGGGAGCTCCGAACCCACTAGAGCATGAAGAGTACTCCCACGTATTTACAGGCAAACACAATGGCATGGGAAGACCTCGACCCCATCGCATCTCACTGTCGCATGCAGAATCCCGGGCTTTGCGGAAGCAGGATTTGTGCGTGCGGCGCTGGGCCTATGAACAACCTGCGTGCTAAGAGCTATGGACTCTGAGTTGCTGCAAATGCAGAAGTAACCGAGCAACGACGGCCGCGGTCACTCCGAATTTCCTCAAACAGCAGGATGGGATGGATGGTTTGGCAAGCTTTTGGATACCCATTCCGCTGCGGCGGTTTTGGGAAAATGGGGCCACAACCCGCGACATTCATTCGATGGTGTTCGAGGGTAGCGATAACACGTTTGTCGTTGAAATTTTGGCAGTAGTATGCCAATGAATGTTACGCATGCCTACATCGCCCGATGGAAATGCTACACGCCGAGCTCGCCAAGCCCTGGCGCGACTTCAGCCAATGGTGGACTTCTTTCCGCGGCAATAGTGGCATGCTCAGTCGACGTGCGTGTGGACACAACCAGCGGCCCCAATCGGCTCTGCAATTTCCGAAGAAAAGGGACCCTGATTTGGAGAACCGCACATTTAGTCTGGCGTCAGCTCTGAGACCTAAGCCCAAAATGGTGACCATAAACCTCGTGCGCGGGGTTGGCATTAAGATTGATAACCACGGCTTGAAGCACCTTCGAGGAAACCTAAATACAACCACTCCCAATCAGAATCTTGGGTCAATCCCATATAGGGGCCGTAACACATAAAAACAAGGTTTTGGGGGTATACCTTTACTAGGCCTAAACCCTAAACCCTAGAAACTAAACCTATAATATCCGCGACCAGAATTGGGGAGATACCATTACCAATTACTCTGGCTATCTAGGTTCTTGCAGCTTTGAGGACCTTGGTGTCAGGCTGTAATTAGCAGTACCACTGACTACTTTCATGAGCCCGAAGGACCTAGATACTTATACACGCAGAGACCATATATATATATATATATAT